CCTCTCTCTCTCTCTCTCTCTCTCTCTCTCTCTCTCTCTTTCTCTCTCTCGCTCTCTCTCTCATGATGTGAGGAAAGAAAGAAAAGTCACCTTTGCCTCTCGCTCTGGCACGGGGCAGCTGGTCGATAAGAGAGACAGCAGCGCAGTTGCTCCAGTTCTAAGTCCAGATCTAGATCTATTGACCAAGTTGACGTCTGCCCCACACTTGATCAATGTAGTGAGGGTTTCTGGAGCCGCCCACTGACAAGCTATGATGAGAGGAGTTACCCTCGCCCCGTACTCAGCCACATGATTCACGTCTACCCCTGCAAATTGATACATGACATTTTTTAAAGTAAGTTGCAATTAATTTGATTACCTGTTTAGACCTATCTTTTGTGGCCAGTTTTGCTTTATTCGTTCTTTCGTGTATTCATTCATTCATGTATCCATGCATTCATGTATCCATTTATTCATGTATTCATGTATTCATTCATTCTTGTATTCATTCATTCATTCATTTATTTTATTTTTTAAAGCGTAGGTTGGGGGAGGGGCGTCCCCTTTTGGCATTACTGTACCGGCTGTGTGTTGGAACTGATCAGAATCTCTACCATAAGATGGGTTTTTTTTCAAGGTGTTTGCACATACTGTGTTTGTTTTACAATTACATTGACGCACTTTTGAAACAATTTGCTTATTATGTGTACACACAATCTTTAACCAGAGGATGTTTTGAAACTTAACTTCGTTGTTCACTCAGATTTTCCCGTTCCTTTTTCTGTACCGGAAGGAAACTTTAAACAGACAGGCGACGACATGCACTCCATGAAATATGTAAAATTTTAATTGTGTTGTCATTTCTGATGATAATTATATGATGGTCCGAAATGAATGTTCCGTAATATTTTTTAGTCGACCTGCTGCATGTCGAACATGTTTTCTCCGCGACGTCCTTAACCCCTGCACTGTCTGTCCCGAGGTTGTCAGCACATGGGGCTTTCATGTTGGACCATGGGTAGACGGGAATTCCTATGTTACATAACACGTTTTAATAAGTAATCGTAAACGCAAATTAATGTCTCTTCTTGGATAGATTTCTATTGTGTGTCAGAGTGGAAGGAGGAGGGGGGGGGGGGGGGTATGCTCTCACACACCTACATTCCCTATTACAATCCTTCCATTCTGCACTCACCAATAATGTGCGAGCGTGTAATTAGTTGAAAACACCCCCCCCCCCTCCCCCATTTGAACAATCTTCCATTCTCCACCCACCAACAACTGTGTGAGTGTGTGATTAGTTGAAAACACCCCCACCCCCTTTCCCCCATTTGAACGTACCAGCTGCACAGAGAGACTCTATTGCCTCCACCAGGTCTTTCTTTGTTGCATACAAAAGAGCATCTGACGTGCCGGGACAGTCCCGGCTTCTGGAAGCGAGAATCTCTGGAATGGCACAGACATGCAGACGTTTTTTGTAAAAAGTACCGTACTTGGTCTATCTCGTTGGTAGAAAAAAGAGGACACAATAAAAAAACCAACAACATACACCCCCCAAAAAAAAAAAAATAAATAAATAAATAAATAAATAAATAAATAAATAAATAAATAAATAAATAAATAAATAAATAAATAAATAACTAACTCAAAGTCAAAGCCATGAAGTATTTTAAAAAGCGTCAATTCTAAAAGTAACAACAACAGTAATAATACAAAACTGGAGGGGCGAAACGTCGATCTATTTTTCAGATACTCTTATCATAATTTTTAAACAGCGCAGGTGAAATCAGGCGCTCGTCAAAATAATGTAAGTGAAAAATCGGTCATTTTCTCGCAAGTTTGGGAATATTTTTATCTAATTTTTTATTTAATTTTGTTGGGGAAGGGGGGGGGGGGGGTGGGTTAATTAATTTTTTTTTACTTAATTTTTTTTTAAAAATTTTTTTGGGGGGGGGGCACAACACCTTCCATGTCGATTAAAAAACACTGATTAAAGAAAATGTGCAGGTTTTACTGGAAAAACGTCGATTAAAGCACACACAAAAGTAAAATTTCAGTTTCCACGGACTCTCAAGTTTAGGAAATTACTTACGTTGGCGGCCATTTCCTCGCTAATTTTACCTCTGAAACGAGGTAGCCACCACCTCCCACAACCGTAAATATCTCGACTTCTATTTAAGGTAAATAAATGGGTGAGTTTTTTTTTTTTCATCAAAATCAAGACAAGTGAATAAACTTTAAGTTTAAGGTGATACCAATACCCCAATATGCTTAAAATTTGATGGGCGCCATGACATACATCTTCAACAAATTTTGAGGCATTCACATAAATTATATCGCATATCACACTCTTTAGACCATCATCCTCATCCTCATCCTCATCCTCATCCTCATCCTCATCATCATCATCATCATCATCATCATCATCATCATCATCATCATCATGACGCGACGACAACAACCATACGACGACGAATGCTACCACGACGACGACGACTACACTATCACAACGACGAAGACGACGGCGACGAATACTACCACGACGACGACGACTGCACTATCACGACGACGAAGACGACGACGACGAATACTACCACGACGATGAAGACACGGTTCTGGCCATGAGGCCGATACATTCCCCCATACATCAAATAAAACACGAGAATAATCACCTACCTACAACTTCTGTTTGGCCGTGAACACAGGCCAGGAGCAGAGCGTTCTCTCCTCTCCGATTTTTCGCCTCCGGCTTGGCACCGTGTTGGATCAGAGTTCTGACCACTTGTGCGTTCCCGCGGCGAGCTGCAACCATCAAGGCCACCTCTTGTTTTATGTTATGAGCCCTCACATTCGCCCCGGCTGCTATTAATGTTTTTACGACAGTCGCATTCTCTTGCTGACAAGCGTACATCAAAGCTGTATTGCATGATTTGTCCACTTTACTAACTTGTGCACCGTCATCAAGAAGAACTTTAACGATATCCAACAGGCTGTGTTGGGATGCAACCATTAGTGGAGTCATTCCATCAGAGTTAGCTGTCAAAAGAACGATTAGAATAAAACTAAAGAAAACGATGATGCACCGCCAACCGATGATGATGGTGATGATGATGATGATGATGATGATGATGATGATGATGATGATGATGATGATGATGATGATGATGATGATGATGATGATGATGATGATCGTCATCTGAAAAGTAAAAGCAAACTTTAGCCTAGTATTGGCTACAACATTTACCTTCATCCACACATGCACCTTGATAAATTAACGGGTGGATCAAACCCACACCCTGCCTATTTGTACAAGCCTCAATCAATGCAGTGGACCCTTTCTTGTTGCGGTGAGTGACGTCGGCACCGTGCAACAGAAGGAGCAGAGCGAGTTCCTTGTTTCCTGCGCGCGCAGCTTGCATGAGAGGCGTGTTGCCACCGGAATCAGCGAGATCCACCTGCGCACCTTTCAGAAGGAGTTCTTTCACAGCATTTACTTTTCCTTGGGCAGTTACTACTGCCAGACGGTTCCTTCCCCGCTTTCCGTGCACGGAGTTTTTGTCTGTTTCATTTGTGACGTCAACCAGCTGGCTGCTTACTGCTTTCGACATGTCAGTGAGATGATGAGTTCTTTTCCACGGCGTTTCATCCATCTGAGAGAAAGAAAAAAAAAACTTTAATGATGTTGTCGTTGTACTCAATAAGTCTACTGGCTTCTTTCATGCTAGATTAATTGTTCAGTGAAGCTCAAATCAATGATCTTTCAATTTAATGCATATGTATTTTGTTTCTAGTAGGTCGTGTTTCTATCACGTATAGTAAAAAGGGGCACTATAATGCTTTTTATTTTTTTTATAGTAGAGGGTTTTACGGCGCTCGCAACTTCATGAGGTCATATGAGCGCGCGGGACACATCTAATACTTTTAGTTGGTAGGAAATTTTGAATTTTTGCCCGGGTGGCGGCCGAAGCCTACTCTTATCTATTTTAAACCCCTAGGGGATCTTTAACGTGCGCAACTTGCACACAGGCCGGGCCCTCTGAGATTTTTCGCCCTTGTCCGAGAAGGCTAGGTGTAGATCTTTCCTACCAGAAGATCAGGAGTGTGGCATAAAGACAGCTGTAAGAAGGAGTCAAGGAGTAGCAGTAGAAAGACTGCAGTCGAAAGAGTCAGGAGCCCAGAGGAGGGGGGGGGGGGGGCAAGGAGGCGAGGGGGTGGGGACAGAAAGAGGAGACGAAAGCAGACGACAGAATATTGCTAGAGAGCAGGAAAGGAGGTGAAAGGAGACAATTTTAGAGAAGAAAATTTTTCGGTCGCTACCCGGATTCGAACCCGGGACCTTTGAATGAGAGGCCAACACCTTGACCTCTAGGCCACGAGAGCCCCCACTATAATGCTTGTATTTTTAAATTATAAACTGCATCTGATGAAAATTATGATGACTCTACTCGTTCCAAAGTTTGGTTTATGTCATACCAGGGTAATCATGATTTTATTCTGAAAGAAGACTAGTCAAGCAAACTCGAAAAAACGGTACGTATCCCCCCCCCTTGCTACCCCTGGTACGCATCGATCACCCAGTGAACCACTGAACCACTGAGATTACACTCGGCTGCTTTTTTTCAGAAGATTTATCGGATAAAGTAGGCCTTACAAAGGAATGAAATAAGCTATCAAAGGGCTGTAAAAACGTATTTTTATACAGCGTGCTAGCAAGAATACGGTACACAATACAACCAAACATAATTCAACAGGACATAATATTATGACCACTTGGCTTACCGACCATACTAACCTTCACGCAGTAATACACATACTGTAACATTACACAGCCCAGCATACCTTGCAACACAGCCCATTTAATAGGGCATGTAACTCAAGACGGTTTTATACGACACTACTCAGACTAGTTCAACTCTTCGTTCAAACATTAAAAAGCAACTTAAAATGACCCTTGCATTTTAAATCAACAAAGTCGACCTTACCTTATACCTAGAAATCTATATAAAAATTTTTAACCGCATGTAGCTCTTACAATTTTACAACAAATTAATAATAATATTATCTTCATGGTCTATATTTACAGTCTATACGCCTTTTCTGTGTAAAATTCACACTGTGCCCTGTATTATTTTATCGAAATGGCCAGCCGTCCTTATTTACCGACAGCCGGCCTATTTTCGGGCTAGCCGTACTTAGGCCCTATTGGCTGAAACCTGTTTTGGCCCTGGTCGTATCAAAGGTCACTGTAGGCCACAGAATTCTACAATTCTGTGCTGTAGGCGCAAAGAACATGTGTGAATTTTAATTTCGATCTTGACTTGGCATAGGTCTACACAATGGCCACTCATCAATGAACCGTAAAACGCGCCCAGAATTTGAGACAAGTTTAGTGAGAAATCAAAATAATTCTTAGAATATGAACCTAACGAGAATTTTGCTTTTTGATTCTATATCTTTGAAACCATTGCGACATGGTGTTTGTAAAAAAAAAAATGTGTGTGTGTGTGTGTGGGGGGGGGGGGGGGGGGGGGGGGGGGGGGCCGGGGCCCTAAAAAAAAAAGGTTAAGGTGTTCGATCGCCTTTCATTCAAAGGTCACGAATTCGAATTCGGGTAGCGACGGGGAAAAATTTCTTCTCTAAATGTGCCCTTTCCCCTCCCTAAAATTGCTTGCTCCCTGGCAAAGTTCTGTCGTCCGCTTTCGTTTCCAAGTTTTAACCCCCCCCCCCCCCCCACCTCATGACCTTCTTTGCCCCTTCCGCTGGGCTCCTGACTCTGTCTGCAGACTTTCTACTAAATTTTAGTGCTACTTCTTGGCTCCTTCTTACTGCTGTCTTTCAGCCACACCCCCTGATCTTCTGGTAGGAGAGATCTACACCAGGCGCGTTCGTCCATAGAGCACGGTCGTGCAGTGCCGCCCAAATATTTTTTCATGTTCTATTACGAAAACCACCCACAAACATTAAATAAAAGAAGTTAGAAACAAACACTAGACAAATATAATATCAAAACAAGGTCCTCGCTGGCTCTGTAACTGTCATTTCTGTATCAAAAGCGCCGTAAAACATCTACTACGCCATGCCGCGCGCTTTAACTAAACGTAATAGAATATTCAACAGTGGCTATCTGACCTATAAATCGCTATTTGGAATAACCCAAGCGATGACGACACACGTAGCGAGTTTGGCGGTACATTGATATTAACAAGACGGCACATCTCAAATGTGCACCCACGAAACATAGCCCACAGTAGGAAGTCTAAAAATAAACGCGATAGACTGCACACTATTCAACGCCAAAACTATGTGATCCCCTGAGCAATCCAGCGGAGTGTTCAAGTGGATTGTGATTGGTTCATTGTCTTGCCACTATTTTAAGCGACTCTGTGACCGTGGACCTGAGGGAGGTGAACGTGACATACTTAAGTCACCGCCCTATGAGTTGTGCCTTTGAATGGTTTTGTAGTATAGGGGTGAAAGTTATTACTCGAGTGTTCGGTTCCAATGCAGGATAAAGAACTTGATGTTTAGCTACACACATATTTAATTCTAGAAATCAAAGCGACAAGTAAAAAGAATGAAAATAAAAGCATAAGGTCCTCCTTCACCAACCCAGAGATCCTACCATCCCATTTACTATGCCCTTGGCTATCTTCAACCTGCTGTTGCTTAATTGTGCACGCCCACTTTTCAGCCCCACGAGCCGCCCTTGATCTACACCTAGCCTTCTCGGACAAGGGCGAAAAATCTCAGAGGTCCCGACGTGCAAGTTGCGCACGCTAGAGATCCCTTGGCGTAAAATCGATAAGAGAAGGCTTCAGCCGCCACTTGTGCAAAATTCCATATTTCCTACCAACTGAAAATGTTTAATGTGTCCCGCGCGCTCATATGACATTATGCAGTTGTGAGCGCCGTAAAGCACCAAAAAAAAAAAAAAAAAAAAAAGGAAAAAGAAAAAAGTTGAGTACACAGATCTCGTAAGTAATTAGATCTAGATGTCTATATATTCATGTTAAAATGCATGTCAGTATAGTACAATTTTGTTTCGTCTCAAATACAAAAATACTTTAGGTAGGCTATTACAAACTAAAATTCTATTTACAAGTCAGTATTTATTTTTGCTTTTTGTCAGTCTAGCCATCATTAAGTACGACTAGCCAGTCTGTCTTTAGTGGGCCTACAGCTGGCCTTGCGTGCTTGCCATGTCTATCATCAGTTTTCATAAACGCACGTGCTTGCACTCGCAATTTTACAACAAAAAGTAATGGATAAAGTTGAATCTGTGCCAACGGCCTGTAGGCCTAAGGAATACTCAAACTATACCTTGTATAAAGCGATTTTGGCTAAGATCAAAGGTGGTATATATACATGTACATGTGTATATCTGTTCTCAGCTGCTTCTCCTCCGGCATTGAGCCCATTGGTTTAGCGAGGCGGATACTGCCCGAGGCACCTAGGGACGGAGAAATCTGCCCCTGAGCTTTTCTATCGAGGGGACGGTTATTGTCCATCAAAAAATTAAAAAAAATAAAAAAAATAATAAAGCGATTTCTTGACTCATCACTATTATTCGGACATCTCGAACAAGTTTCAAGTCAGGAGGGTAGTCTGTGTGCGAAATGTTGGCAAGGTCTTTTACATAGGCTAGATCTACAAAACTAAATCAAATCCAACTAATGATCAATTCAAAGGTAAAAACTTACCTTTTCAGACGTTCCTACCCGGCTCAGTCACGCAGACTGACGAACGATTGAGAGGAGATCTAAACTGAGTAAGTTCTTATCGGCCAGTCCTCCGCAATGTATTGACATTGTGATTTCCCTTTGATTACGCAATACCAACTTGTTGGGACTGTAATCGTCAATAGCCTAGCCTGATGTAATGTGTCAGCCATACCTCTGCTCGTAATATACTCGCCACAAGGGCGAAGTTATTACTGATAAGGAAAAAAGAATAGTCGACTTTCGAGGAAGGCAAGGGTCTCTCTCCCTCTCTCTCTCTCTCTCTCTCTCTCTCTCTCTC